GGCACCGCCAGCGGCGCATGGCGCCCTTTGCCGGTGGTGTCGCGGTCCGCTGGCGTGTTCGTATACATCCAATTGTGCTGCGACTTCCTTTTACCGTAGCCGCAACTTCCATTGCTCGGGATGGGACTTTTCACTGCTCGCGAGGTCTACATCCCAAGTCTGATCCCGAACCATGGATGCTGCGGCTGTAACAAAAGCTCATCGCAGCACAATCTTTGATATACGACTGCGCCAGCGTACCGTACACCAACGGCAAAGGGCGCCATGCGCCGCTGGCGGTGCCNGCACCGCTGCCCGATGCCCCCCCAAAAAACTGGGTGCGTGGAATTCCCACACCCGCGTAGGGGCACCGGCGGACCTTGCATCTGGCGCAACCCGCCATGACAATCCCTGGCTTTGCTTATGTCACCTGGAAGATCGCCAGCTGATGCCTGGACGACTGCGATGGCAGCACCCACTGCGCGCAAGTTGTGCGTGCCACCTGCGGGCGGGCGCGTCAGGTGCCGCATGCCGCGATGGTGTGCAGCGGGCACACCAGCGATGGCCTTCGAAGCGCTGCGGGATCAATCACTGTCGCTGCAAGCACGGGGCGAGGTTCTTTGAATGCGGGATGCCAACTTGCGTGTCGACACGCGCATCAAAATACAGGCTTGGGCATAGGCTGAGTCTCAGGCATAGCCTTAGGCTCAGGCTAAGGATTTGGAATGTTACAGCATCTTGCCTCGTTCTGGAGTCATCCAGGCTCATGGGGGTGGGCATTCAAGCATCAGCGTTGTATGACTGAGATGGCGGGCGTCCACTACCAGTCTGCAGGGGACCAGCTACCACCCAGCAACCTGCAGCATATCAAGAAGGACCAGTCTGCGGGGAAGCACGGTCAAGGATGTCGGCCCCCTTGGTGCAGAGGAGGGGGGCGGGCGGGCGCGCCGCCAGGCGTGCTGAGGTTGGAGAGCATGTAGGGGTGGTGGGAATTGGGGGCAGGGGTGTGAGAGACAGAGCGGAGGCAGCAGTGCTGATTGGTAAGGGGTGGTGGCCACATGGTGAGGGAGGGATGGGTGGCCAGGGAGGGTTGGAGATAGAGGTGGGACGACCCCACCCCTCCAGCCCGCCCTCATCACCACCCCATGGTGGGGTTAGCGTGGCATTTCACCGGTGGTTGGGGGCGGAGTTTCGGGGCGTTAAAGAGGGGTGACGATGTGGGGCTGGGGTGGTGGCCAAGGGTGAGGAGGGTTGGGTGTGGGCTGTTTAGGATGGGGGATCAGAGATGGGTGAGGAGAATATACGCTGACGCCCACGCAACCCCCGTCAGCGTGGAGGGGGGGGGGCGGGCGGATTGCTTTTGTCTCGATACAATTACAGCTGCTTGGGCAGCCGCCCAGCAACAGCGGTTGCTGATCTGGCACACACTCATCCACCACGCAGCAGTTATATGACGCAGCACTTGAAGCGCCCCCGTGATCTGATTGGCAGCTGCGCCCATTGATCCGTCCTGGATCAACCCAAGACATCCTTCCACACAAAAGCATCGGGTGCTAATTGCAGACGCGATGATTACAGACAGGATGATCCTGCAAAGGGCATGTGGGCAGCACATGCCATCCAAGAGGCGGCCGCCGTCTTGACCACAACATTGTGCAAAGAAGGCGACACAAGAACCCATTGTAAGGTGGCGGGCTCCCGGATTGCTTGGCAGCGCCAGCAACAACACCACACCCTGCCTGATGCTGTCATGCATGCGCATGCGCACACAAGACCGTCCGCTTCAAGGCGTGTGAGCAGGCCGCGGACCGCTGCGCGCGCAGCGCCTTGCGGGGCAGGCGCACGGCGCCCAAAATGGGTAGCGCGAGGGGCGCCGCCCCTACACCTGCCACGCGGAGATCTCCGCTGCGTCTGCGATCTGGTCCACGAAAGGCATGTCCAGAAGCCGGACGGTCAGATCTCCGTTCCAGGGGTCCTCCGCCGCGACCTCCTCTTCCAACTGCGCCAGCGCCAGCGCCAAAACACGCTCCTCCCCGCCGCCCCCATTGCCGCCGCCGCCCGCGCCGTTCTCTGAGTGGTGCGGCGCCGCCCCTGCGTCCTTCGCCGCCGCGCCCGCGCCG